TCCTTGTGCCCCTGGGATGAATCCCACTTGATCGTGGTGTATTATCCCTTTGATGCATTGCTGAATTCTGTTGGCAAGGATTTTGTTGAGGATTTTTGCATCAGTGTTCAGTAGGGAGATTGGCCTGTAGTTTTCTTTTTTCATGCTGTCTTTGGTTTTAATATTAAATATTAGTGAAGCGTCTAGTGTATGACAGGTGCTTAATAAATAAATGTTAGCTGTTTACACTTGATTTTTTTTTTTGTCTTTGAAATTTGAAGTAAAGGAAAATGTAAGAGGAACTACTTCAAGATCTTGCATCCTGTGGGAAGTTTGCACCTTCCTCATGCTCACCCTCACAACCGTCTAGCTGTGCTGATTTCACTAATGCTACTATGGTTTCTTCTTTAAAGATGATTGTTCAAACACAGAAAGGTTAGATTGCAGTAAACTTAATTGAATTCCATTTTTGTAGGTTTATTCACATTTACTTTTTAAAAAAAATATTTATTTATTTATACAAGCACTGGGTACAGTCAGAAGCGCGGGAGGGTGAGAGAGAGAATTCACCAGAGCCAGAGCGGGGAGCAGAGCAGGCAGAAGGACTGAAGTACACTGCTGAGGGGAGCAGCGGGTGGCAGGTGGCAGAAGTCTGCGCGCCATGCGGGACCCTCCTCCGGTGGCTGGGAAGCAGCCCGGGATTGAACCAGCGCTGCAGAGGCTTCGGGCAGCTTCTCAACCCAGCGCTCAACCACTGCGCCACCGGGGAGGCCCTACGTTTACTTTTCAAACATTGATTTAGTGAAATTCAACCTAAGGCTATTACCCATTGTTCATGGGACTGGGTGATTGTTTTCATTGAAGACTTTACCTGTGCTGTGAGACTTCCTGCACTGGAATGTCAAACTTCATTTGCTTTACCCAGACAGCAAGCATAATAAAGTTCAAATTTATACTTGTATTGAGAATAAGGCCACTGGATAGATCAGCAATAATTGAAATTGACCCTGTATTTTCATGCAGGTTAATTTGCTCACTTTAATGAACCATCTATTTATATTTAGCTTTCAGTTTGCTGCATGTGGTTGGATTTGTCTGTTGATTAAAGATATTGTAGACTTTACATGGTCTCTGGTTTCCTGCTGAATTAGTAGCTTTGTTTGGGAAACATCTTTATGGTTGTGCTGTTAGGGCTGCAGATAATTATCTAGTTGTGAATCATTTTCTGTAGACTTTACGTTGGGTGCCGTAGGAAGTTCTGCCCGCGGTGTGGCATATCTAAAACCAATAATGGGGCCTCCCCAGTGGCACAGCAGGTTGAATGCCATGCTGTGAAGCTGTCCGCAGCCTCTGTAGCACCGGTTCGATTCCCGGCTGGTTGGGGAGAAACCAACATGGCGTGGCAGCTCTCTCCTGTCTCACCTGCTGCTCCCCTCAGCAGTGTCTTTGGTTCATCTGCCTGTTCTGTTCCCTCCTCTGTCTGTCGTGAATCCTCTCACCCTCCTGCACATCTGGCCTGTATCCCAGTTCTTGTGTAAATAAAATAAATCTTTTAAAAAAAAAGTTATATTTAAGATTCTCCTTGATTCTGGCCTTCTCAGTGACTCTTCACATTAACTTTTGAAGACATTTTGGACTTCCAGTCCCCACTAGTAGAACATATCCTTGATTTAGAATGATTTTACTTATAGCTTGGTGACCTTGCTACAGTAGTCCCTTTTATCCATGTATTCATGGTTTTTGTTTCTTTTTTCTTCAAAGTTTAGTTACCCTGCTTTTACCAGCATTTGAAAATATATTTTTAGAGAGAAAGAGATATATTCATATCAATTTTATTAGCTACTAGCTAATAAACTAGCTACTGTTAATCTCTTACTGTGCCTAATTTATAAATTCAGCTATATCATAGGTATGTGTGTATGGGGAAAAAAACATAGTCTTCACAGATTTCATTACTGTCTCTGGAAGTCTTGGAAGGTATCCATCTTTGGATAAGCGAGTACCACTGTCTATATTCTGTATCACTGTGCTGTGCTCAGTGACCAAGAGATCACCAGTGATAATTTCTTTGTTAATTGTGGAGTTAAAAAACATGTGTGGACTGCTGTACTGGGGGATGAGAGTAGAGGAGGGGTCAAGTAATAAATCCAGATCTTTCTCTTTGTAAAACATTTCAGCAGCTGTGGTGGTGATGCTTCTGCTTTAACTTGCATTATCTTTTGACCTTGTTCTATTTGGGGACAGAATAAGACAGGACCATAAATTAGAGGAAATATCTTGTAGTAAGAAGTGAAACTTACAGCATGGAGAATTGTATATTGCAGGAAATTTGAATATATATTTTATGGAAGCACAATATATTACCGCTATAGTGGGTTTACTAACATGGAAACATAAGGTAGAATTTGTAATAAATCATTAAGTAAATATATGTAATATCTTCTACAGTAATGAAATTTGAAAAATCTAAGTTTGACTTACTGCTCTCATTAAGAATGAGATGATCGATGCTTATTGTTCACCGGTACTGCTCAGGCTCTGTTCTTGCAGTTGAATTAGAACAATAATCCTTCCTTTGGATTGAACCTGCTGTTACTAATTTTCTGTAATTATTTTTTTAAAAGGTCTGCATATATTTAAGTGAATTACGAGCAAGTTATAGCCGGCAGTGCTTTTGGGTGTCCCAATAGTGTGCATGAGTAAAGCCTCGTTTACTAAATCTGACTCATTTAACCAATCCCTTTATGTTGAGAACATTAATATTACAGCCTACCAGATGTGAATCGAAGGTAACCTTTTGTTAACTCCCTGTCCTAAACTTCTGATTTGCCATAAATCACTTTACAGTGGGCATAGTAAAGTCTCTGTTAGTGAACAACTTAACCTTATTTTTAATTATTAAGTATATTTATTCAAAGTTGCAAAAAGGGACATTTTTGTAGACTTAAAAATATTTCCCAGTTGACTTTTATTGTACCCAATACATAATAAAAATAAACCTTAATAAGTTAAAAATGCAATCAAAAGGGCATTTTGCAGTTAGTGATATGAGGTATGGAGGCATTTAATTCTTCAGTAATAGTTGCAAGAAGATATTCAATGGACAATGAGTCTAGTCACTTTAATACTGAGAAGGCACAGATGTCACAGTGACCCTTTGTTTGTAAGCTTGCCATAATTTTTTTTAAAGATTTATTTGTTTTTGTTTATACAAGAGCTGGGGTACAGGCCAGAAGCACGGGAGGGTGAGAGGACTCACCAGAGACAGAGCTGGGAGCAGAACAGGCAGACAGACTGAAATACACTGCTGAGGGCAGCAGTGGGCGTGACAGGAGAGGTCAGCCACACCATGTGGGAATCTCCTGGCTGGCTGGAATCGAACCAGTGCTGCAGAAGCTGCAGACAGCTTCACAGTGTTGTGCTCAATCCGCTGCGCCACTGTGGAGGCCCAGCTCTCCATTTTCAACTGAACCAGAGTTAATATTCAAGCATTTGCATTGATGTTAGTTTCTAGATAAAAATCATATATGGATTTCTTTTTATCTCCAGCATACCCCCTGTTGCACGCCCCCCATTTCACTGTTCTCTAAAATAAACAATGAATAGCTTTGGCATCATCAGATTCATTGCTTTATAGCGGGCATAGTAAAGGCTCTGTCAGTGAGTGAACAGCTTGACCTTATTTTTAAGTATTAGGCATATTTAATGACCTAGACATTTATTTTTAAGATTTATTTATTTATACAAGCACTGGGGTGTGGGAGGGTGAGAGGTGTGGGCCAGAGGTGCGGGAGGGTGAGAGGACTCACCCGAGACAGAGCGGGGAACAGAACAGGCAGATTGACTGAAGTACACTGCTGAAGGGAGCAGTGGGTGAGACAAGAGAGGTCTGCCGCACTATGTGGAAATCTCCCTGGCTGGCCGGGAATCGAACCTGCGCTGCAGAGGCTGCAGACAGCTTGACAGTGCTGGACTTAACCCGCTGCACTACCGGGGAGGCCCCTGACCTAGACATTTTTAAAGAGAATTGTAAATCCTTCATAGAGCACTGAATAATCCTTCAAAATTTATAAAGAAATGCTAGAAGTTGGAAGAATGGAATATACCAATTAGATTTTTGTTTGTTAAAATTGAGGTTGTTTCTGACCGTGGAAATTGGCAAAGATCAATGCTAGCCTTGTTCTTTGCTGAAAACTCTAGAATGTACTAAATAAACGTGAGCAACACAGGGAATAGAAAGGAATGAACCCTGAAAGTCAGTGTGGATTTTTCACTTTAAATCTAGCTTATTTCATTTTCTGAACAGGATTGCTAGATTGATAAGTACAGGCAGTTTTTTTAGGAGTATAGTGTGTTCTGTTTTTCAGATACTCTCAGAGCATTTTTGGTAGCACCATGAAGAAACAAGGAATCTCCAAAGATGTGTCTATTTTATTTCAAGCAGAACTACACGAAGTATGATCTCTATAACAGTTTCAGTCCAAAAACTGTTATTTACCTTGATAAATTACGCTTTAGTTTTCTAAACTTGACTCTTTGGTTTTTCTCATAGCAGATGTGAGAAAGTAGAATTAGACAACTTCTTAACTCCCTTTCTTCACACTAAGTTTCTGATGGCTTGGGGGCATTCTTACTCCTAATGGCTGTTTGGTTCCTTTGTTACAGAATGAAATGCTCAAATATGTAAAGCAGATAGGTTCTAATGAGGTAGAAATTTTTCAGCAGACTCTATTAAGGTAACAAAGCTCAGCAGAATAGGTAGAACAGAATTCCTCCCGGAGTAACTTTCCCATTTAGCAGGGTTGTGTTATTTGGCAAACTGTGCTTGATTTATATTGTGTATGTGAAAACTGGAAAGCACACAAATAAACCAAGCATTATAGTATAATAAATACAGCCTTTTCCATTGCCAGCATCACTGTCACGGTGGAAATTGGGCATTATCAGTGTAGATGAGGAACTCAGTATTAAAAAATGTGCAACATAGATTAAAAAGTAAGGAGTTTCTGAAAGCAGTATATAATCTACTGGTCAATTAGCGGTTTTCTTCTAAGATCATATGAGATGGATTTTCAAGATACCTTTATACTGGTTTTATTGTGTGGGTGAAGCAGATTTTGTTGGAGGTAAGTAAGCAATCCTGGTTAAAGTTAGAGGAAAGATAGGTAATGTCTAGATCAGTGGTCTCAGATTTTTTTTTTAGTATATGTATAAAAATTATGTGTATTTCTACCCTCATTTCGTATATTAATTATTTTTGTTCTGCGTCCCTACACAAGAAAACTATCAGGCCAACAATGAATGTTCCTTTCCATTTCTCCCTTTTAGAACAATGTTATTCCTTAAAATGTTGAAAATAGGCTCCGATGACTTCCTTATATATAAATAATTTGATTCCTTAGATTTCTGTATCTTGCTTTATAGACATAAATTCTAGTCATAGTGCAACTGCAGCATATACAGATCCTTTTCTCTCCTGTCTTGCTTCTGTTCTCATTGTTATTGGGCTTCCACCACAGTGCATTCCTTGATGATGAGGGGGAGCTGTGTGGCCTTGGCATAAATCACCATGCCAAGCTGAGTGGGTGCTTAGTCATTAGATTCAGAGAAGGGTGTGTAGCTGTCTTTCTCTGGTTTCAGTTCCAGACCAGATTGTCCCGTAGCAGTGGCACTGAGTGAAGCTGTTAGCCTGTAAACTGCAGACGATGGCGCTGATGTCTGATTTCATAGATCTTCCTATAGGTCACTCTTGCTTAGGCTTGTTTTTACTTAGTCTCGTTCCTCTTGGTCTAAAGAGAATATATAACAGCATAAACATACAAAAATAAGGTATCCATAAAGCAATTATGGATTATTATGTATTACCAGAAGCAATATTTTAGTGAATATGTATTATCAGAAGCAATATTTTAGTAAAAAGTAAGACTAATATAAATCACCATGTGAGAGATCTTTGAGATGTGGGTGGTAAATTGGATGCTTCTACTGTTAAGGATTTTCTTGATCAATGGGCACCTTTTTTTCCCCAGGTTTGAGTTTATTGGGAGCCCTTTTCTAAATGGGTTAGAAAGGTTTTTATTTTTGAAATGCTTCATAGTTGTGCTTTCATATGTCCAGAGTCATTTAGTGAAAGAAATGTGGACATTTTTTGAAAATGGAGATTTTGAATTGAGTTGTTGGATAGTACGTTCTCTTTTAATGTTGGGAATAAAGGAATAAGGAGGAGAGAAAGTATTTGATTTTACTGAAAATGTGTGATAAGAAGCAAAGGTTTTCTATTCCCAATAGATATTCTTTACCTGATAATATTGCATTAAACTGTTGAGGTACAAATTTTGTAAAAGAACAGCTGATAATTTAAAGAAAACATGCTGTGTTTTAGTAGATTTTAAATTTGCAGAAAATAGAATTTATTAATGTTAACCATTCTAAATGTGAAGCTTTTATTTCATTGGTCAAATGAAAAGCGAAAAGTGAAATTATGAGAATTGTGGAAATGGACCACTTTTGTTTTGAAGGTAAAAATCATTTAAAATCTTTGGTAGCTTTGAATGAAAGACCTTTGTATTTTAGTGCATCTTTATAAGCCCAGATGTGTTTTTGAGAACTGCTTTTGCAGGGCAATATATGTTGTGTTAGAAGAAGCAAAATGAAGTTTGCCTTTTACAATTTTGAAATAATCACATGCAGTATCAAAGGAATATCATCCCTTGCAGGGCATTTTTGGGTTAGCCAAGTAGAACACAAGATGAAGAGTGAGAGAGATGTTTACAGGTGTTGTTAATTAATTTTGGTACAGGACAGAAGTGAGAAATAGCATCCTGAAGGTGTCTTTTTGCCACAACACAGATCAATATCACTCTTTGTACATAGACATCATAAATTAGGAGGACATTCAAAGATCAAAACAACAAAATTAAAGTTTAAGAGCCAAAAATTGCTAACTTGATATTATATAATAATATAATAAAAATATATAATATAATAAAAAGCCTCATTTGAGATAGTACGAGATGGGGCACAGAATGCACTCTTTGTTAGTTTCTTTGACTTTGTTGTCTAAAAATCCACAGTGATTTGAAAACTGAGCATAAACAGCGAGTAACTGGGTAAAATGACTTTGGAAGTGTCATAGTTGTGGTGATTCTAGTATAAATTATAACACACAACTAAGACTTTATATTCAAATAGCTTTGGAATAAAAAGCATGTTCTTTAAAAAGCATGTCCATATAGCAGACAAAAAAAGCAAATGAAAGTAAATCTACATGGATTTCAATTTAAAATTTGTTTTCATTTCTTTGTTTTTACTAAGATATTAACTTTCATGCAAGATTTTAATTGACCTTCAAATTAAATAATAAATATACTTCAGAAGGTAAAATTTCTACATAAGTCTGAGAAATCCAGACTAGAGAAATCCACAGTTAATCATACTCTGCCATTTCCCCAAAGTGGGTTTGTATTTTGGCTCTGAGGCAATGAATAGCAATCTATTACTTGCTTAAAATCAATAGACGTGTCAAAAAAGCGGTAGTGGACTGAATTTTAAAAGTAGACTCCTTCAGGATTGTATGCTGTCTTTATAGTGTCCCTTCATTGAATTCTTAAACCTATAAAATTACAGTATTTGCATAAGGATCAGAAAAAATACTAACATTTGAGTTTTGTATGTAGTTGTCTTAGAAAATTACTTACAGCTTTTTCAGAAATGTTTCTTAGGCTTGGTTGACAAGGTGCTATTAATTTTTAAGCAAATTAGGTGCTCTGTCTTTAAATTTGGCTCAGAAAAATATTTGTAGCCACAGTCTCACTTCAGCTGCCGAGAGGAAATAAAATATTTTGATTGCAGTTTGAGATATTTGACAACCTCATATTACACTCAGGAGTTTCTCTGTATTTAATACATGCCAGTTTACTTCTACATGGCAAAATATATTACTAACCATGATGCTTGACATTTGTTCATGCATTTTATTTTTCACCTGAGCATCACAAAATGATTTTTGATCTACATCTAAATATGAGATTTTCTGTTAAGTCAACCCTGCAATTAAACACCGTTGAATTGCCCATTGTGTGCTTTTCATGTTATTTAGTGCACTGAGAAGGTATGGAATGAGTGGAAGAATGAGTTAGGTGGTGCTGTGCAGACACTTAAACTAGGATTTGGCCATGTTTTCAGTAGATTTGAATAGTGTCTCTTTAAAAAATTAGCATTGAATCACGGGTGTTTACAAAATTAGTGATCAGTATTGACCACAGTGATAGTTGTAACTTCTACAAAACCTCATTTAAATTTAAATTGATGATACATTACTTTTAAAAATGATTTTGAATTGGATCTTTTCCTCAATATAATAATCCCCAGGCCTTTGCATTTACAGTTATGTTTGTATTTTCCTTTGTTACTCTTCTGCCCTCTTTTTCCTCCAAGATTATGAACATGGGAATATAGAATTGCTGGGTTTGCCCTTTTTATCCCTCATAGATCCCAGCACAGCTCCTTAGAAAGAAGCAAATTAATATATACAGTTGATTTTTGTGCCATTTATCTACTTTGTGCTATACAGTTGATTTTTGTGCCATTTATCTACTTTGTGCTATACAGTTGATTTTTGTGCCATTTATCTACTTCAACATATTTCTTAATTCTTTCTTTGTAATGTCTGATCTGTAATTTATTTTCATGATGACTGTTAAAATAGAAACAAAGGTAATACAGGTTTAAACTTTTTTACTTCAGTCACATATATTATCTAAAAAGTAGCTTTTGGCCACACGAGACTTTGAGCACTCTTGCTAAAATCATTGCAAGCTAATTTTTATGTTGGTTAGATTGTTTTTTTTTAAATTGTAATTGCTATTCAAAGATATTTATTAAGCATCTGCTGTATAAGATGTTTGTGTGTTATCTCATCCCAGTTGTTTAGATTTGGAGCAAACTTATATATGATTCTCATTTATTACTAAGAATTTTAGGCAAAACAATCTGAAGGAAATTTGAGTTTAATGAAAGTTAAGATTAAACTTAGTAGGCTGAGGAAGCGCAATGTGATGTTGGGCAGGAATGTCTGTTTTCATTACAAGATACCAAGTACCTGGTACATAGCTAACTCTCAGCACTTGAATGCATGCAAGAATAAATGAGTAGTGAACATTTGTGAATGAATACATGAAAAACCAACTGATACAGTTAATATTGATAGAGAGTAGTTTACTAGTTAAGCTGGTGTGTAATCATTTGGATTTGCTTGTTGATTAAAGGTTTCAGTTTGACTTCAAGGGCATGGAAAACTTAATTACAGTTCAGCACTGGTTAATAACTAAGGGATGCTGATTACTTGTTAGACACCAAGTTATGGGACAAGGGAATTTCCACTTTACTGGTGCCAGCTGTTTGAGCTCTCATACTGGAGAGTGAAGGAGAAAGCAATGTCAGGCACTAAGTGGTATGGCCCTGGTCTTACATCATTGGTAGCCTTTGGCATCTCTATATGCTTTCAGCAGCCAATAAATAATTCATGTGTGGAATTGTCTAGTTATTGGAAGTCAGTATCGTGATTGCTTGTTTTATACTGAGATGCATTCTGAGAAAAGGCAGTGTAAAAGTGCATCTGTGCAATGGAAATTCATTTTATCCAATAAAGCCGAACTCAGATTTCATGTTCCTCTGGGGCCAAACAATAAAACCCTGTCTTATTTTCCAATTTAGACATCTGAGACTTGATAACATTTGGTGAGTGTGGAACATTGATTACAATGTGGAGAGGAATGTAGAAAAGAGTAGATTGGGCTCGACCAGCAGCAGTACCCCCTGGTTGTTAGGAGTGAAAGCAAGGGAGTTGAGCTTTGTATCCTAGCAGTTCAGAGCTACAGATTTCAAGATGCTAGTTTTCCTACACAGACCTTGCTGTTGTACACCTTTCACATTTCATGCCCTAAGTCTCTTTAGAACACTTCTCTTTCTCTGCCTAGTGACTCAGAGTTATGTCAAGGAGTATATTATCTGGGGAAGCTGCCCCTAGTATAGGATCCTGGACATGTTTCTTTCTGTCTTTGCAAAGTGAAGAGCAGGATGATCCATTGGAATGCGAGAAGAGAACATTAGATTTGTTAATATATTTATCTTGAGAGAACAAAAACAGCCGTTCTAATATTGCATGGGTTGACAGTGCTATACTCATTGTCTCTTAAGTTCGGATGGACACATTCTACAGACAGTATGAGAACTGTTCTGGAAGAGTGGGAATTTGTGGGACACAGAAGGGCTTATGTTAGCATCCACCTCTGTTTATTTGCTTTCAGCTCACCATAGTATATGTTTTGTGTGCCGGGTTATCTTGGTGACCATTGGTGTTATAAAGACATGCTTGATTTAAAAGTCAGCCATTTTTCTGCCCTCCTGTTGTACAATATGAAATCTTCAAAACACGACTTTTCCACTTAGATATTATGTTCAGTATCTTAGTTTCATGTTTTTATGCCTGCAATAATAGTTGGGTGGGCAGCTATGCTTATTATTTAAAAAATGTACCTGCTTATTATTGACTCAATCTTTCTTGCCTTCTGCTGTTTTTTTTTTTTAATCCGTTTTCTTTTCAAAATACCCTTTTTAGCATTCTTTCCATGAGGATATGTTATTACCAAATACTTTATTTTTGTCTGAAAATATTTCACTTAAATATTAGCTTGGTTGAATATGAGGGTCATTTTTGTTAGTGTCAGGATATCATCCACTGTCCTACAGATTGTGCCATTGTCAGTCTTCTGTAGTAATTTGTCTTTTCTTTGTGACTTCGATGGAATTCATACTTCCTGTATCTGAGGATTTGTCTGTTTTGCTGGTACTGGAAAATTCTCTTTGGTTTTCCTTTGAGATGAAAATGTAATACAGGTTTTCATTTTGTTCTCTTTGTCTTGTAGTTTCATTTTTATATTTTCCATCCTTTTATGTCTGTATTCAAAATTACCACTGAGAATTTTTTATTAATTTAAAATAATAACAGACTTACATGTTAACGTAAGTCTTCTACATAAAGTCAGCTGCTTTTCAAAATAAAGAGTGAGAAAGTGGCACTGTTTTTTTGCTAATCTCTATAAAGTTTGGCTGAATAGAATTAAAGACAACTGAATCCTAGTAACAGCTTCTAAGTTTAATTTATTTGCATATTCCATTGAAGTATATAAAGAAAATCTGATCCAGGTATTAGTACATGGAAGAGTGAGGAGTGTTGTAATAGCCCTCCTGGATACTACACTAGAATTCAACCCTTGATTAATTGTAATATAGATGATAAAACCAGATAAGTGAATCTTTTGTTGTTTGTTATAATAAAATGCATTGGTCTGTTTTGTACTCTGAAATACCTTCCACTTGTGCATTATTTTTTAGTTACATGCTTTGATTATTTGGAAAATATTTGCTCTGATATGCAGATCTTCCAAATGTTAATCCATTTCATTTTAAACTCTCAACCTGTTCCCCTCCAACCCCCCATTTGTTAATATCTGCTCTGTTCTCATTAGAGAAGTGTTTGGGTATTGGAAGCTACCCAGTATGTACTATAGATAGAAGTTTCCTAAAAATTTCCAAAAAATCTAGTTTTCTCTTGGAAACTTAATTGTTACCATTGTATCATTTATCTAGTACTGTCAATTGTTTTCCTTGAAATACAGGCTCACTTTGTTCATTTTTGAGGAAAAGCTCAAAAATTGTCAGTGATCACTAACCAAAGAGGACCAGGAACTCACCTGTAGCTGAAGAAGTCGAGTTTATTATTGGTGGTGGCAAGGGAGGATGATAGCTAGAGAGCCAGGAGGCAGCTCAGTCAGTTTGTCAGGAAGGATTTATTAAAGGACTTGAACTTTTGTTAGATAATTTGAAAGAGGGTTAAAAAGGGGGGATTTGCTTTGGGTTTAATGCTGTGGGGGGAAATGTGATGATTTTATGAATGGGTACCTTAAACTTCATATTTAAGGAGGGAGAAATCAGATACAAAAGATTGACTATCAGGAAGATAGTCTTATTATTAGCAGGAAATGTGGATGTTTGTTCATCATGTGGTTTGCATGGTGTTCATGTTTTTGTTTGTGCTTTGTCTTCATCCATCAGGGTCAGAGTGCATAATGGGAACAGCAAGGCATAGCTGATAATACTGCTGATAATTTTTCAATTTTTTTTCAAATTATGTGCATACAGAAAGTATCTTTTCTATTTGCAGCTCAAACAGTCTCACAGTGCTTTTCCTTGAGATCACCATTCTGTTTCATTGTGCAGCAGTGCTTTCTACATGCTTCATTTGGCCTCAGGGAATATTAAAAACACTTGCATGGTTTGAATAATTGCCCCTCAGAAGATATGTCCACACCCTAAGTCCTGTAACCTGTGGAGGTTATCTTAATTGGAATTAGGGTCTTTGTGGATGTAATTAACTATCAAGATGAGATCATTTTAGGTTATCTAAGTGGGTGCTCAATGCAAGGACAAGTGTCCATGTGGGGAAGAGATACAGAATAGAAAACACAGGAAGGAGGAAGTGATGTATCATGAAGGCAGAGATTGGACTGAAGTGGCCACAAGCCAAGGAATACTGGGAGCCAGAAGAAACTGGAAGAGGCAAGGAATGAATTTTCCCCTAGAGTCTTTGGAGGGGTTGTGTCCCTGCTGATACCTTGTTTCTGGACATCTGGTCTCCATAACTCTGGGAGAATAAATATCTTTTTGAAGCCACTGAGTTTGTGGTTGTTTGTTATAGCAGTCTCAGGGAATGAATACACTTGTACTTAAGGTTTGAGATTTAATGAAATCAATAATGTTTGCTGGTTTATGGAGGGCATTTGTAAGTGAAACTCACATCTTCTATTACAGGGAGTGTGTGGAGGTGGAAGCTGTAATTGACTGCTGGTACAGTTTGTTGCCAAAGCCCTGATGGGTGTATCAGCGGTTTAATCCACAGTTGCTTTTATCAACTGAAAATGTCAGTCTGGTGAAACAGCTTAGTATTAATTATGAAAAGTTTGATTTTGTAGACTTCCTGAAAGGGTATGGGGTGGTGGTTATGGACAACATCTGGAACCAGTGAGTTAAGGAAACCTGACTCAGTCACAGAACACAGAATATAAAGAACTTTCTTCTTTGAAACTCTCTTTGTGGGGTACAGGTTATTGTGGTCACTGTATTCCCTTTCAGGGCTAACTCAGACATAAAGGGTAGCATAGAGTATTAACACATAATAGTTCTCTTGAGTTACAGCTTGTTTACTGTTGCAAACCTTAAGTTACATAAGTAAACCGAACTTTGTCTTCTGCCCACTCGAGAGAATTGACTATTCCTCTCAGAAGTTAACTGGCAAGGTGGTGGCAACTACTATAGGTATCTTTTGATGAGGTCTTCCAACTCCCTGCATTATTTATGGTTCAAAAAGAGAAAACTATGGTATATAAACATATGTTTGTAGCTCTGTTCTTCTGCCAAACTCTTGAGGATCTGAGCCTTTTCTCTTTCCTTTGTTTCCTCACCTGTGTGCACCTGAGTGCTCACATACACACACTCAGATGCACCTTTCATTGAGTTTTCTCATTTTTATTTTCCTCAGCTTTTTCCTGGAAAATGGTTCTGTTATTGAAGAATTAAAAAATACTGGTTATTATAGGTAGTAAAGGTTTGACATCAATTTATTTACAGTCAAACCAAGGACAAAGTACAGTGAGTCATTCATTTATATCTTAGAGTTGCCTATAAAAAATACATTTAAGCTTACTAATGTTTAAAAACTAGATTCTGGGCCTCCCCGGTGGCGCAGCGGTTGAGCGCTGGGTTGCGAACCTGCCCGCGGCCTCTGCAGCGCCAGTTCGATCCCCGGCTGCTCCCCGGCCACCGGAGGAGGGTCCCACATGGCGCGCAGACCTCTCCTGCCGCCCGCTGCTCCCCTCAGCAGTGTACTTCGGTCCTTCTGCCTGCTCTGCTCCCCGCTCTGGCTCTGGTGAATTCTCTCACCCTCCCGTGCTTCTGGCTGTACCCAGTGCATGTGTAAACAAAACAAACAAACAAACAAACAAATAAACAAATAAACATGCCTCTATAAAATAATAAAAAAATAAAATAAAATAAAAAAAATAAAAAAAAATTAAAAAAAAAAAATAAAAAAAAATAAAAACTAGATTCTTATTAAGTTGTTTTGGAATGTGTCATAGTGCCAAGGAGGGAACCCCAGACCTGGACTGTGAGAGGGAGCATGAGTATTCGGCCCTGAGAAACATGAAAGAAGACCGTCTGCTTAGAGTAGACAAGAGTGTTGACTCCCAGAGACAAAGGGAAGACTGTGCTGGGGCAGGCTTCAGAGGCCGCACAAGTGAACTAACTCAGCGCAGGAATGGGGGAGAGGTGTTCGCGAACAAAACCACCACGACGAAAACAAGCTGCTACTGTCCAGGCAGCTGAGGAAAGTCTGACCCGTAGTCAAAATTGGCTTTTGGTTTTTTTAATTGGCTTAGGTCTAGTAGACAGCCAGACAGAAGTCAGGGTGTTGTCATCTTTGTGTTTAGTAGGAAATGTGGCATATTTAAACTGATGTTATGATTTAGTATGTAGCATGGGAGTGGCCCCCACCTTGGTTTTCTTGCCTGGAGCTGAGCCCCCTCTCTCTGACCAGGCGGGGGTATGGTGGGCATTGCCCTGTGCAGCCACTTAGGTTGCATTATTCTTCATCCTGCTGGTTATTATGCTATCTTTTATCCACATAACATATTATAAAATTTTGTTAGTCTCTGCTGTTGCTTTCCCGTTCCTGTAGGTTTGGTGGCTTTTACTTACTGGATGTTTTTAAATTTACTCCTTTCTGGAGGGAGCATGGTCTTTAACTGGAAATCTCTGCCTTGACCACCAAGTCCTGAATTATACCTCAGACATTAACTCGGACTTCAGTTCCTGAAACCTGGACATCATTACATTAGAAAATACTGTTTTACATTCTTTTTTTCTCCCCTGTGTTTTTTCTTACACTACATTCTGTTTCCCTAGTCAGGAAGATTTTTGAGCTTAGCTTTTTATAGTTTGTATTACAGAAAAATATAGGCACATTAAATATGCTGTTTCATACTGTTCCTGGTATGTTTTGAGGAGGGATTTGGGCATCAGAGCTCTCTCCTCTCCAGTGAAAATCACCCACAGCTCACTATGGGGTGATTCCTCCCGCTTCTCGTGATCTAGCTCACTAGAGCCAGAAGACACATCAATTTATATGGCTGGATGGCTGACAGCTAGTGACCTTTGGTAATTCATCTTAACTTTTCTTACATGTTTGCTCTTACTGAAAGAACTCAGTGCCAGTAGCTTTTTCTTCCCCCCCTAAAGATTTATTTATTTATTTATACAAGCAGTGGGTACAGTCAGAAGCGCGGGAGGGTGAGAGAATTCACCAGAGCCAGAGCGGAGAACAGATCAGGCAGACTGACGAAGTACACTGCTGTGGGGAGCAGCAAGCAGCGGGCGGCAGGAGAGGTCTGCGCACCATATGGGACCCTCGTCCGGCAGCAGGGGGATCGAACCAGTGCTACAGAGGCTGCGGGCAGCTTCGCAACCCAGCGCTCAACTGCTGCACCACCGGGGAGGCCCAGTGACAGAGAGCACAAACATTTTCACAACCTATTCAGAATTGGACTTGTTTCATTTTGATGGTTGGTATCACCAAACAAGTTCAGTTCTGAAAGAAGTGAAAGAAATGCGAAAGCTGTCTTTCTAGCTCATTAGTGAAACAGAGGAAACGTGGTGAATATGAAAGTGAGTGTCATGGGAAATTAAATGGAAATGAAAAATGTTAATAATCTTAAATTGCTTGTGCTCTGCTCACCCATTTTTAAGTGTGTCAGGTTATGCTGGCAGATGGATGCTGTGGAGAGTTTGATCCTCAGAAGGAAGCACATATTTCATTTGACAATTGAGTGAATGTATCAACAAATAAATAAGTGAGGAGCTAGCATCTGTTTAGTTCAGAAACTGGTGATTAGCTAACTGGAAAGATTATAAAGGAGGAATGTATGGGAAGCCTTGGTATCTGGACTGTGTTGTACAACATCTCTCAGTTAGGTCCAACATCCCAAAGCCCAGGGCATGATTTGCTCACATAACAGGCTGACCCAAGAACAGCTGGATTTGTCATACTTCCCTCCCCAACTACTATTTTTGTGATTTTATTTTGAACTTATGTACATGATTATGACATCAAAAAATTTGACATGATTTTAAAATTATTTGCTCTTTTGTCATTTTGTCAATGTAATTATGCATACTGGTTTTAGTGAAATGCAAAAATTTTAGTTTACATTTTTGGAATGCTTACAATGGGAATTTTACCCAGAGTGCTTCCCTACTTCATGAGAAATCCCATCTGTGTCAGCCTAAGTGTGGCTACTCTCTAGTGTCTTCAGAGAGTTGTCTTACGTATTTTGCATGGGGTGGATAATTATATGTTGTGGGGGTGCTAGTCTGGTGGAAACTCTTCTGCCCTTATTGGAGCTACAACTCACTCTCTCATCAGTTGTCAATTTCCTTTTCACTTAAAATTTATTTATATGGTCTTTATGTTAATTGCCCTGTTTCATTGGGCTGATGTAGCATTCTCCCAATGCAGCTATTTGGTTTGTTTCTGATTTTTTTGCTATAAAAAGCTGCAGAGATATCTTTGAGTCTATCTATAGATTTCTTTGGTTTATTTACTTACGATAAATTTGGAGTAGAATTCCTGGCCTAAAAGGAGTAGAGGAAATTGCAAAACCTTTGGAGAGAGATGTCATGTCAGTTTACATGCTGATATGCTGCTTACCAGCTAGCTGTGAGATTGTGGCAAGTTCGCACCCGGTTGACTCTCACTTTCAGCTTATCTGAGAAGGGAAGAAAATATGCTTCATGGTTGTTTGATGGTTAAATTACATGGTTTTATAGAAAACATTGGAAAAGCATGGGCACTTAATGGCTGGTGAGCAGATGAAGATTATGACCATAGCGATTGATTCGTTTTTTGGCATCTTTACGGGGACTATAACCAGGATGAAAATGCATACATTGTACAAAAATGAAAAATGATATAAAAATATATAAAATAAAAGGATTGACACTTTGGGGGGGGGGGAAAGAAGAAAAATGCCTATTTACAGTTAGAATGTTTTCTATTAATGGGTGGTTTTTGTAGCTAATGAAACAAAGTAGCATAGCATAGAACAGAGTAGCTGAAATTAAAAGATCCCAGAACAGACTTTGTAATAAATACTACTGTGTATATATATTTAATGTTGAATCATGTCTCCAAAAAGATATAATTGGTCTTTTCTCCTGACTTTGTGCATCAAAAGGAAATTCTTTTGAAATGAAGTAAGGGTGTTTCTGGATTCTTTTTCCTGTTTTTGGGTTTAGCTCTGATCTGTTTAGGCAACAAACTATATTACATGTTTTGTTTCCTATAGAGCTGCCATTAGAATCATCAAGAGACGTAAAAAGCTTTGAATTGGATGTCTTTATCAAGTGCTAATTGGATTTGTAGTTCCTAGTTTACCACATCCTCCATAAATATATTTGTGTTGTCTTTGGGTCCCAGGGGATGCTATTTTATTACAATACACTGAAATAATACAGTCTTAGTATTCTACTCAAACACTTTATTAATGTAGATGCTGGGGTTATATTGTTGCAACATGCTTCTGCTATTGACTTTTTATTTAGATAGGGCAATAAATAAAGATACTTAATTTACATAAGCCTATTAAATGGAATTCTCAAGAGGAAGGGAAATAATTTTAAATATAGTTTGCCATGTGGTGACAGTTGATCCACTAACAAATGAGCTCATTTAGTTGATTGGATTGAAAAAACCTTTGTTTCATAGCATAGTTTGTGATCTATGCAAAATGGTTTTCATAATACTGAGCTGTGTGAAGAGATAAGCACTATTCCTATCAACTTCTTACTCCTTACTCCAGAGGGTAAAAGGAGAAAGGAGAGGTTTTGTTTTGCTTTCCCAAAGTGGTTCTATTAAGTTATACTTGAAATGACTTTCCTTTAAAAGGGTAGTACAGAGTCCGAGTTGCAGATCAGAGGTACTAAAAGTGCCACTCAAGTTGTCAAAGACTCATTCTCCCCTTCCCCACTGTTTGCTTCCTTTCTTGGATGAACAATTTGCTGACTTCTTTTTCCTGGTAGAAATATCAATACAATTAGTAAGAGTATGAATAGAGAACGTCTGAATTGGTCTAGAAGTACTTTTTATACTTTTAGTTTATTGGCCATTGGGAATTACGAACACAGACATCAGAAGAGATTATTCTCAGGTATTCTTTGGACTCCACAAAGGTGCATTTTCTCCTTGAGAAAGATCCAGCAGATTCAGCTCATGTAGAACATGGAGTTCATTTGTTTAAAGACTTGCAGCCTTAAGGCACAGATATAAAACATCAGCTCTTCCAATTATCTCCTGACAACTCAGGTGTTGCTTTGATACATCAGGTTATGTGTGGTCTGGTTATAAGCCTTGGTTACCTTAGAAACCATCATTTTTTCTTAGATTTCTGCTTAAGAATTGTGGTTCCTACAGGTAATTCAGCAGATTTTCAGATTTGAATTTGGGTGTAGAGGACTCCACATTTTTCAGAGAAAGTCTAAGTCTAAAATTCTTCTCCCATCAATTCATTCTGCAATCATTTTTTAATACCTTTTGGATATGTTTAAATTTAATTTGATCAGTTTTTCTCATTTTCAAATATATTCTAGTTAAACTATTTTTTAAAAAGATTTATTTATTTATGCATACGAGAGCTGGGGTACAGGCCAGAGATGGGGGGGTGAGAAGATTCACCAGAGACAGAGTGGGGAGCAGAACAGCAGACTGACCTAAGTACACTGCTGAGGGGAGCAGCGGGCGAGTCCGGAGAGGTCTCCTGCGCCATGTGGGTTGCTCCCTGGCAGGCCAGGGCTTAACCCCTTGTGCCATCAGGGAGGCCTCTAGTTACACTATTTCTTAAGCAGTTTAGATTCTGCAGTTTTATGTCCTCAGGATCACTTTCTGCTTATTTCTGTCCAATACATTTCATTAATCTGTTGGAGTACACCTTAGGCCACTTTTCATGTACCATGTTATCTTCATAACTGCTATTTTTTTAATGTTAGTTTATACATTACTTTTATGAAAACAGTTACTTTGGCTACTCCTATAGAAAAAACTGACTATTCTTTTGCTTATTAGTGCCAGCATTAAAATTATAAATGAAAACTTTTTGTTACAGTGACCTAGTTTGCATGTCGACCAGCCAGTGACAGTAGATCGGGTCAAGTCTTCCTCAGAGGATTTGGAGTGTGAGGAGGATGGGACCGGCTACTGGAAAAAGAAAAAGAATCTAACAGAAAGAAAGGGATAGAGATAGAAGGACGGCCAGAGAGAGTACCAAGAAAGGAAAAATAGTCAGTGGGGTCCAGTTCTGCCTGAGAAGTTAATTAATTCAATTCTCCCTAATCCATCTTCTCCTCTCTACTCACTGCTCTGGTCTGAGTTTAGGTCGTTAGTCTTCACATGCATATGCTCTGTCTGGATTATTCTTTTCCAGTGTCTATAACATTATAAATTCCTGCTCACCGTTTAAATTGGACATTATTCATTGTGTCTTTGAAACCCTACCTGTCTCCTATTCCCTGTGATTTTCCTTGCATGTGTAGACCTCTGTCAGTGAACTTACATAGTATAGAATGGTGTCTGTGACTATTTCTTCCATTCGGCTGTGAGCTTTTACAAATAGGGACTGTTTTAATCATTTTAGGACACCTAGTACTCAGTTTGGCTTTAATGGAAGCTTAAAAAGTAATCAAGGGGGAAAAAAAAGCTGAAAAGAGAACATTACTATTAGCAATGAGTCAATAATTGGTGACCTTTCCTAGAGTGACTTTGATCAAGTGCTGGGAGCTGGAGCCCTATTGAAGCGAATTGCTGAGTGAGGAGAAAGGATGAGTGGGCCACACCTCAAGAGGTTGATCAGTGGTAAAAGTCAGGGGATGGGAGAGGAGGCTGCAGCTGGCAGGACAGGAGTGTGTGGTACAGAATCTTACACTAGGAGAGCTGGGAGATGTGAACATGATTAAAAGCCTAAGGGAAGGAGCCTCTGAACCTCCTTGAAGAGAGTGAGGACAGTGAAGAGGAGCAGGTTCAAGAGGGGGAGGGATCAAGTTCAAGGAACTGGGGAGAGGTGAGCCTTGAAAGTGACAAGTCGTCTACATTCCTTTGAGTTCAAAAAGCAGAAAGGTCTGAAGTCTGAATTCATTTTTATTTTATTATTTATTTATATAAGAACTGGGGTACAGGCCAGGTGTGCGGGAGGGTAAGAGGATCCACCAGAGAAAGAGCGGGGAGCAGAACAGGCAGACTGATGAAATACACTGCTGAGGGGAGCAGCGGGCGCAACAGGAGAGGTCTGCCGCGCCATGGGGGACCCGCGCCAGTTGCTGGCCAGGATCAAACCAGTGCTGCAGAGGCTGCGGACAGCTTCACAGCACAGCGCTCAACTGCCTGCGCCACCAGGGGAGGCCCTGAATTCATTGTTTTTAATGGGTTTTATTCACTTAATTTTTCTACTATGAAAACTATGTGGTGGCCACAGCTAGAACCAGGTCTACTTCATGGAGACTCTGGTGTGGGCGTTTATGAGATGATCAGTGAATTCCTGATAGGAAGATTGGGTGAAACTGGTCTCTTTCCAGAGGCTGGGGTGAAAAAGCTGAAGTTCTTGAAGATGATATCACAGTTGGTTTTAGCAAAATTTCCCCGGGTGATGCTGCCCTGGCCAAGGCGTATAGCTGTTGATATAGCTGGCGGGCAGCAGTAGCTTTCTTGGGCAGAGGGGCTGAGGGCGATACCAGTGCCCCTGGAGGCAGGAATGCACACAGCCATGGTGACTGGTCACCTTGCCAGCGATGGTGTGGGATCTTCTTTGCCCAGTAGATTTGTTACATGGAATCTGTGGGAAGTTTGCAAGGGTAATGCCCCCCGGATGGTAGTGGTTACCTCCTTGGGGGCACATACCAGCCACACCGACATGTTTGTTGTAACCTGGTCCACAGGCCAACAGGGGTCAGCTTTATCACAGGCATAATCTTCAAAACCTTTTGTTTTAGGGATGCCACCTGGAAAACTTCTTTTACTGCCAGTAACAGAAAACCATCAGAAGTAGCTAAAAGATGAGTGAAATTTATTACTTTTATGTAATGAGAAACATGGATGAAAGACAGTTCTAGTGCTGATTAATTCAATGTCATGAAGATCAAAGTGCTATCCATCTTTCTGCTCTGACAACCTTAGTTCCTACTGAGTGGACTTTTGTCCTTAGATTTATCCCCTAGTGATTAAAAGACACTCCAACTCTGGACCAGTTAAGTCGAATAGGAGTGGGAAGTCCAGACACTGGTCCTTTAAAAGCTGTCATATGATTCTGTTGTGTGGCTCTCTAGCATTCAGAACACTTGAGTTCCACAAAGTAAAACTCACCCTGGGATTTATAAACTCAGCTCCCCTGAAGCATGTGGCCATTTGGTAATTGAAGAAGCTGGAATTCTTTTAGTAAAGAATACAGGAGAGAAATTCAACCAATGGAGTCTGCCCTGCTGTAGATGATTGAAAGGAAATTCTTGGAATTCTTGCATGAGCACAATGATCAAGTTAGAAGGAGCTACATACATTGTTCTTCCCCCTTACCTTAGCCCAGATACGTAGTTTTATTAACCCAAGAAACTATGAAGAGAATGTTTTGGCTAGGAAGGAAGCCAGGGGTATTAAAACACGCTTTTTAGTCATCTTATGTGCAAACCAGTATCTGTCTTCTAGGTAAATATAGTCTATGATGCCTTGGGC